ACACCAGAAACTGTGTGTAAAGCAAGAATTGTGCTGATCGCATCAAAACTCATTAATATAACTTGTTTTTCCATTATTAGCACCATCTGAGCCTGTTGAAAGCCTTAACCAGGGCTTTAATTTTTCCACAGAGAGCTTTAAATTAATTAGTGGTTTACATGCTAACAAAGAATCTGATACTTTCATAAATCAATCTAATGCAGAAGGATTACCAGAGGGTGGAAACTATTCAGCAGGGACCTCACATTCAGTTAACATGGTGTGTTTTTAACAAAAGGGTGCAGGTGTGAAATAGATGGATACAGGGAAGAGCCCATGATAATCACTTTGCATCACTTAAATACGCAGCAGGACACATGGTAAATCAGAGCCTAGGGCCCACCCTAAGTGAAACCCATGTAGGCATAAAAGGCAGTTATCATACCACTTTAACCTCCACAACTAAATTGCCAGAGTGCTATAATTTCTTTTGTGTAGGTTACAGGCCAAAGAACTAATGGAAAATAGAGGAGAATTAAAGTACCTGGATGCAGAAGTACAAACTAATGAAACAACTGTTTAACGTATACACACATATATAGGTATTGAATAAATAAAAACTTGAATATTTTTCTGGGAAATTATTAATTGAATCCAAGTTATTAAAACATGATGTAATGTGTACACTTTTGGTTCACTCGAGGTTTCTAATCTAGGTTTCTGATAACACAACACTTGCTTTATCATGAGAAGCCTGCTATGGAAGTACAGTAGCATTTTTCTCATTTTTCCTAATCAGGCACTGTTCACCATTAATGAAACTTCACAGAAAATGAGCCCATTTCGGGGCCCATTCTGTGTCTTAAAGGTCCAAAGTCTGGGACTTAAAGTTTTATACAAAATTTTTGGATTAAATGAGTGTAAAAAACAAAGAGTTTGATAACAAAAACAGTTTCTAGCTTTTACCCGGTTCTGAAATAAACTCTTCATCTAGTTTGAAAGCTGTTAATTTTAATAGTGGAATCTCTGTCAACACAGACACCTGCACAGTCTTCAACAGGAACAGTACGTATTCAAAGCGATCGTTTGCTTTTCCTTTACAAAGAGGTAAAATACCTCTGACGAGTCAGAAGAATCATGATTAAGAGAGTTTAACCTGCACATTAAAAGGCCATACAGCTACAGAAGGAGCCATACCACAGTGTAGGCTCAATGCTGTTAAATGCTTTTAGTAGACTTGGTAAACCAGCAGCGTGTTTTGATAATGAAGAATTATCAACGTTTGCTAATGGCGGCTCATAAAATACAGAGACCTGAGCAAGTCATCAGCAATTCACAGTCTAAATTTATCCATATCTCCCAATTCGAGCAATTTATATTCCCTATATTCACTCAATCCTAGGTATGAGGTATCCCGTTTTCAACGCAGCCACACGGAATAACCAGGCTATTATAGCTCATTCATATATTTCTGTTGGTAAACATTCATCTTTTAAAAAAGTCTTTATTTAATCTCTTTTTTATAGTACCTTCCAGTAAATATCTACTTCCAATAATAAATCAGTTACGTAAAATGTAACTCTGGGACATATTAAAAAAAAATGCATTTCCTATGAGGACTGAAGTAGGGCAGACACATTGGTGCCATATATTATACATAATGCTTTAAAAAGAGGTCTCATAAAAATGCATTTCATCATACTCGATACATGTTATTTATACAGATGTGCAAATCCATTTTTGAGCAAAGATATCACAGCTTAAACAGCATCAACAGCACATGCTTAATATTTATTTTTCTTTATTGTTTTAATGCACGATTAAGCCTAATTGCAGCAATTCCTGTAATGGTGGGTGAACAAGAGCGCAACCAGTCTTCGCTGTCTATACCTTCGATGGACTACACACAAAAAGGCAATAGCTGGTTGTAAATTATGGTTGAGACTAACCAGTAACCCCCTGTGCAGGGAAGCAGAGCTTAAAATGCCTATTCTCCACGCGATTCGTGCTGGGAAGGCAATAGTGAGAAGCAGCCATAGCTTTCTCACCCTGTGATTAAACAGGCCAAACGGAAAGTAAGACAGGACAGGCCAGAACCGCTAGCACCATACACAGGTGGCACAGGTGGCAGGGTCACACACGTGGGAAAGGACATGCATCTTCAGCTCACTGGCACTGTGCATCGGCAAAGCAGGTGTGGGTTTCAAAGAATGAGGTCACTTCTTACACTCACAATCTATCTGTGATCTCAAAAGCCCTCCAAAAACCTTTTTTCCTTTCTGTGAAAATAAGCAAGAAACACCGGCACAGCATCAAATGATAAGTCATCCTGCAAAGGCCTGCATGACTATTTGCTTGCTCCTCAAGATGCTGGGGAAAAATCTCAGCAGCAGGTGTCTTTGGCTTTGTTTGTGCCATCCTAAATCACGCCACAGATAATGCTCTCCAAGAGATTGAGCAAAGCATTAAAGGTGACATTCACTTTCACCTGTGCTCTTCCCAAAAAATGACATTAGTCCCCTGAAGTCTTCATACCCACCTAACTGATTATTCCATCTCCTGGGCCCTTACTGCTTCCGCTCTGCTCAACGCCAAGCAAATTCATTAATGTTAACTAATCACTGCTGCGTTTCATATTAAAATCACTGATTCTGAGCTCCGAAACACAAATAAGTTTCCACGTAACAACCGCTGCAGTTGTCGCTGTGGACGCACGCTTCCTCTGCAGTAGCCACAAGACAGTTGTTGAAATTACCTCTCGGGAAAGAAGGGAAAAACTACCTACCACTTACCTTGGGGAATGGCTACAGCCCTGGAGGGCTACCTATCAGTTCCTAATGGCTTAAAACACTCTGCCTCACAACAAATTAGATGAAACGACATTCTGTTTAGTAGTGACTATGTGATTAATTTCACAAGTCCATGGAAAAGGGATAAAACGTATCTGACCTTCACTAAATGGAATCAGACGGTGGATGGAACATGACTTCTAAGCCCAGGGACCTGAAGCAGAAATCTGCGGTTTTTACACTGGTCCTACTCCTTTTAGCTACACAGCAGGTAGTCTCCAATTTTTTTTTCTCTTGCAGGCCGTGCTATGGTATCAAAACTCTTGAGAACTAATGGAATAGAGGAAAAGTGATTCCCATCAGGCCATGCAGTTCCTCAGGTCCAAAAAATACATATGCAAAGGTTCTTGAACACAGTACCTAAAAGGAATCATGTATTTTTTTTAACTTAACGTGCCATTTCTGAGAGAGTAAGGTCTTTTAGCAGTTCATTTGTTATGACTGCTTCTCTTCCACTACAGATTGTTTCAGGACAATGACAACACACAAATTTATACGATTTCTACCTAAAACAGAGGTTATGTGGAATCGCACATACCAAAAAGAATATCAGGTCTAGAAGGTTAATCAATATTGCTTATTTCATTAAGTCCTGAATTATCCCACTAAGTATATTTTACATTCAATATATGATATTAGTTCTATGCCTCCTTTCCCTCCCATAGAAAGGGAGGCATTTTTTTAAAAAAAAATTAAAGGAAACATTTCAAATACAGTAAACAACTCTTCTCAGATTCTGAAAAACTATTTACACTTAAAACTAAAATTGCAATTGCAAATCCAATACCTGGTCTTTGCCATTCTTCCTCAGGCAAAATTCTCTCTGAAGTCAGCAGGAGTTTTATCTCAGTTCCAGACTCCTGGATTACAGCTCGACATGATAAAGTTTGTTTCTTGGTTCCTGCAGAACTTCTGCCCCAATACACACAACATTACCAAGCATCCAATCTTCCTGACTCTTTAAGCCACATATCGAAATCTTCTTATGGCCAAATCGGCCCCTTTGCAGAGCCAAGGGCAGGGGAGCTCAGGGGTTGCCTCGGGGTCGGGAGAGGAGAGCGGATCCCACAGCGGAGCTGGGCATGCACCAGGGACTCAAGACAAGTCAGCAATACATGCCTGAGCAAATCCCACGCATTTCCTTCCCTTCACAACGAGGGATTCGCATCCCCAGAAGCCCCTATCCCAGCCCAGCTAGAGCTGCCGGTGGCCACGGTGTTAGAGCAACAGACCCAGAGCAGGTTTTTCCTACCTGCTGTCACCTAGGTCCCCCCATAGCTTTGTTTCATCGCATTCATCTCTAGTAATGGTTAATAAAATGCATTCGCTGGAGCCTGTTTTGATTTTAAGGCCTCGGCACTGCGCGGCTAGTGGAGCACGCGCTCCCCAGACAGAGTCTCTCCAGCAAGTTAAACTTCAGACCAAATCCTTTCATAGCCCACTATGTGACTCACTCCAATCAACAGCAGCTTCACAAGGACGTTTAAGGGAACTGGTCTGGGTTTTAAGCTTTTTGAACTCGTCTGCTTTATCCTGTGGAACCCACGGACATTTAGCTGAAGATAGGGACAAACAGACTTCTGAAGAGATGGGAAAAGTTCTTTAGATGATAGTAAGTAATTAGGTACCCTCAGCATAAGTCAGCTCAGAAATAAAGTCATTTTGGAGTGATAAGGGGCTCTATAAATTGAGAGTTGTGGTTAGCCAAAAATCAGCCATTTCAGCTTTTGCTCACAAGCCTAATCTCATAAACTGCAACAGGGAAAACGAAGATATAAAGAGCATTACACGATTTACAAAATTATCAGATCGACTTTTTCTTAAGCTTCCATACTTCCATTCTTCCATTTTTCCACAGTTGGCTAAGATTTATCAGGCAATGAAGTTTACTGCATTTTCATCTGAAATTGCCTTGCCGTGCCCGTGGTCTTGCACGCCCGGCTCTCGCTCCTAGCGAACATCGGCAGCAGGGAAAAGGAAACGAGCTTTTTTCCTATGGCAGTTTTTCCAAGGAAGCCAAGTTTCTCACAGAGCCTTGAGTTCCCGCTGCGTTTACGAACGCACAGCGGGCAGCCCGCCGTTACGCCCAGCCTCAGCACGACCGAGCGTACGTAAGGCCCGCGCTGGAGGAGGAAAACGTGCGTCGGGCAGCGGACCGCTGCAGCAGCTTACCATGGCTCCTTCCCGCTTGCTCTGCGCGACCTCCCGCTGCAGCCGCGCCACGGACAGCTTCTCCCTGCGGAGAGAAAAGCGCGTGAGCCGCCGTCCGGAAGTACCAATAAACCAGCTGAAGCTAAACATCGTTTGCTCGGCGCAGAGGACAAAGCGGCTCCTCGCTCTGGCCGCGCGCACCACGCTGCGTCAGCTGTTCGCCTCGGGCCTCCGCGCGGCGCTGTATCAACGCAAGCTGGCTCGTTACCTCACCAATAAACGTATGCATAAAAACGAAATTTAAATAAACTTTTCTATTTGTGAACATACTGTGCTGCACTTTGTAACTACTCAAGTTAGACTTTTCTTTTCTTTTTTTTTTAAATCAGTCTCTTTCACATAGCACCCTTGCCCAAATCGTTGGCTTTACTCACATAGCGACTAACTGCCCTAATTTGGCGATTCAGCGATCACAACACACTTTCTCCTGAAAAGCTGTAAGACAGGAATGAAAAATATGGTTTTTGTGGACGTGGAAAAGGACAGAGAGAGCTCCTGGGAAAGCGTAGCACGTACCAACTACGTGTCCAGCGAACAAGAAAGCCCTGACCCAGCTTGTGCCCAGTGGTACAGAAACCTGCCGCTGCAGGAGAGGGAAAGGAAGAGAGGCGTTTACTCCGGAGGCTGAGCAGAACAGAAAATAATAGACCAGAGGACACCTGGGACTTAAGCAACTGAGCATCATTTGAAATGGAGTTAACAAAATTAAAGACATTTTTTCATGCAGGTTTTTTTTTTTTTTTTAAGAAAAGAAGACTACCTACTCTTAAAAGAAAAGCCGCCTGCAGAACTGTCACAAGAACTCATCCGTACACGACGAAATACAAACTTTGCAGGTGAACAAATATCTTTACAGAAGTCGATCTGTTTTGGAAAATACTGGCCAAAAAAGGGTTTTTAAACAGAAGACACCCATTTTTCATGTTCGAAATTTTCCCCTTACTCACGTTTTGCCCAGAACTTATGATTGCTCTAACTGGCAAGAAAGACTTGAACCACCTGAGACTAGCGTGGTGTTATGGCACCTACCCAGGGTAGCATACTAAGAAGAAACCGGAGCAGAGCTTTTTAATTTACGCGTAAGAGCTCCGGTAGTTCAAGCCCTTCGAGACAAAGCTCCAAGCAGTCAGTAACTGGCTACTCATTTCACTCACCCTACGCAGGCTGAGGGCCACGAAACAGCCACCAGCCAGGCAGAAAGGCGTTCGAACCGCAGCTTCCCCCTGCCTGTTAAATGCCCTGGCCACTACCCCACCAGCCACTCTGCCCAGCTTTCCTAAGAAGTTCTGAGCAAGGGGAAATAAAAAACAAAAAAAACCAAAAGACCTTCCTGTTGTGCGTGGCAATGAACTCCCAAGTCTTGAAAAGGCAGAGGGAACGTTTTCCAACTTCTTTAGTTCTTCTGCAGCAGCGAGGAACAGGATTAACTCCCATCCCACAGAAAAACTCCAGTGAGGCTGAGCCCTGGGGAGGTTAAGTCCTCTGGGACACACAGCGCCTCTTCTGCTAACGATGCCTGCCATCAATTAGCTCACTTCCACTCATCAAAAAACCCTAAGCACCATACTATATTTTATTTCTGATCGCCCAGTAAAAGCGGCATTTAATCTAATCCCAGGAACAGAAGTGTCAGGCACCACCTCTGCCAGGGAAGCAATAGCTTTTAGCACCTTCCTAAAGGAAGCGATAGCACTTGTGTCATTTGGCCATAACTCAGCACATACTCTGGGAAATTAAAACAGATCTCTCTCTCTCTTTCCATTTAAGCAGAAAACTCAGCGTTTCAGGTGAGTTTTCCTAGCAGTCACTTGCCATGACGTGCTTGCTGCGCCCCCAGAGGTTTGCCAGCACGCCCAGCTTTTGCAGCTGCTGAGAGCAGGATGCCAGACTGGAGGCCTTGGCTCTGCCGCTCCACTCGGGTCATCGTCACGTTCTTGTTGGCTTCTCATCGCTCACATCCTTCACTGCACGGGTACAAAGAAGAATACTAAACCGCCTGGCCGAAGCCATGAAAACAAAAGCCATTTTATGCTTACAGGATGCGAAGCGGTGCTGGGAGACATGGCATGCACACACGTGTACGCTCCTTCTGTTCGAAAGGAGCGTGCACCTGGAAGATGCGTTTCCAAACTGAACTACAGGGGAGCGCTACACTTCGGCGCTCGTTTTGCAGATCACTAGTACTGGGAAGAAAGAAAAAGAATAGAAAAGAGGCTCACTGACTAGCAGCAGAATAGAGATGTAAATAGGGACTTCAGCTCCACTCTGACTCTCCGCTTCCCTCAAACAAACAGATGCAGAGCTAGGGGGAAAATGCAAGGCAGCAAGCAAGCAAGCAAATAACAGGAAGGTTTTGAGTAAAGCCACCTAGCACAATTTCAGCAGAACCATTTTTAATTGAAACTTGCAGTTCCACTGAAATGAAAACACTTGACAGTAGACATGAGCTTTATTTAAGAAATGAGGGTACCAGAAGCACAAAGCAAAGGTCTTTTGTCAAAGAATTTGCTCTCTGCAAAGTTTAAAAATGTTCAGTTTTGGACTAGAACAAAAACAACTCCTTAGAACAAAGTTTCCATTTCCCACAGAGCTCTAGAGTTTAAGGAACTCTAAAGCCAGAGTTAAAAATTAAGCCTAGTGGAAGAAGTCACATGAGTATTTCTGCCTTCCTGAGACCCAGCCTCAGCCCAGGCACTGCAAAACCTGGGGGCGAGAGGCTCTTGCTGCCCTTGCCCCCTTTCTAAAAATCATTCTCCGTTTTCCTGTTAAAATTCCCAAGCCTCACCTGAGGTGGGAATCTGAGGTGGCTGGAACAATTTCCATTCATGTTTGCATTATTATCAGATTAACACTAGGCATTGCTACCGTTCTCATTCCTAAATGTGTACAGTGTTGAAACACCTGCATATTGGTGAAACTCCCATATGATACAGCCAAAACCCTATTTGAAGGCATGTTTGTGTTACTCAACATGATATCAAGATCTTCTTTTGGGCATCTGAAAAGTTACTGAAAATTGAGAAATTGCATCAGTACAATATTAATAGGCCTTGATTAAAATATCCTAAAACCCAGTTTCTAAAACACACATACAGCCCTCCCTCTCCCTTGCTTGGGTACGAACATAGGCAAATTACAAACTCGTTTAATCCTATTTTAAGGATTTAGTTCATCTGCTGGAAATAGCCAGTTGCATTTTTGCGTTGCTTCACTGCCCTGATATGTTTTAGTAGAAAAAGCTAGTATACCCTTTGAGGGGGGTTTGACTTTTTAATTGCAAAACAAATGCCTGAAGATATTTTATAAGAACAGATGCAGCAGGGGGGGAGACACAAGCCACTCTTCCAGATACCTCCTGCAAGCAGTCTGCATACATATATTTATTCCTCCTATATGAGGGGAAAAAGAACTACTCTCTCCATTTACTCTCCACGGAATTAGTTAAATATTTCCAGAATTCTGTAACTTTTACGAAACTGAATTCCATTCAAGCTCTATCAGTGAAGAGAGCTCTTCCTAGTAAAAACAATCTTTTCCTCATTCTGAGCAAGAATACTAAACGAGAGCCCAAAAGAACTTCTTTAACACTTTTCCTTGTGAAACAGGGCAAAAAAGGCATTCTGATACTGCTCTGCCAGTATTTATGACCTTCCTTGGTAGCAAGAACAGAACTACTTTTCAATAGTATAAAGCAAAAAAGAAACCGGATTATCATGTATGAGAAAAACCTTTTAAAAGGGGATACAGAAAAGCCATCTGTTGCAACAGTGTTCTAAAAATACCTTAACTTTGAGGCAAACAAATTCTGTGCTCCCATTTCAGATAGATCCCAGTGCATTTTCTCCCTCCCTCCTCCGTTCTGCAAATGGAGAAACTGCGTACTTAAGGCCGGACCTGAGCAGATGGTTACCTTCATTTGAGTAGGACACATTGTAGGGGCTCAGTGCGCCTCTGGACCAAATTAATCCTTAAGATAATTCCATCGAGTTTCATCCGTGGTGCATTTGGCCCACTGCCCGCAGCAAGCCATTTCCCCTAACTCTGTATAAATACGTGCCAATATAATCAGTGAGAAATGCGGTCAAAATCCTGTTAGGAGCCAATAGCATTTAACACCAATTTGCAGTGTTGGAAACTTTCAAATAAGATATTTGACAAGAGAGAACCAGGACCTTCATGTCTAAGTATGACTAAATAATCTTATTCGCTATTAACCGCCATCTCAGGCGGTTATGATTAAGACACAACCTTCAGCAACTATTCTTAGCCCCAATCTTTCTTTAAACACAGTGTTACAATTGAATAAGCACTTCCACTATGACTGAGCTGCAAAAATAATAAGCTTTTCACTGCTTTAGCCGTTCAGATGTTTCAAATGCAAAGAACGTTTGACACGCAGCTTCAAAGTTAATCTCGTTTTTTTAATCTTTGCTTTTAAATAGGAGAAACCAGTAGCATTACTTTGTTGCTATATGGTTTCGTTTGTTTTTAATCAAGCATGTTTCATCCCTGTAGCATGATTAATTAAGGGTAATTAGCCACTAGAGCCAACCCACAAGAAAACAAAATCTTCTCTGAGGATTCGGGGAAAAACAAAAAAACAAACCAGAAAGCCCACAAACGTGTTCATTGAGAAGTTCTCATGTTTACTTTCAAAAAACTAGCAAATGATAAGAAGTTTACAAAAACGTTCTTTGAAAGCATAGTTTATACTCTTAAGTTTGAATATCTGCATCGTAAGCAGCAAAATTCCCAGCCAAGGACTCTGCAAAGAGAAAATTAAAGGACTCAAACAAGGATTCAGTGATATCCTTTCCAGGCCGAACCCAGCACACAGGCATCCACGGTGTGAATGTAAGAAAGAGGGTTTCAAGCCTTCAGGTCGCCAGTCAATTAATTGTACAGTAGCTTGTTCTAAGACAGGCAACGGTTTGAGGCAAGCCCATTTCATCCAGAAAAAAATATGAATGTTCAAAAGTAATCCCGCAGTATCCCAAACTCTCCTTAAAATAACATTTCTCC